AGGAGAAGGGATTGCAGCGTGACCATCCCCCCTGGGGGGTGATTTCTCGCTTTCTGTCTCTATGTCTCTCTCTGTCTGTCTGGCGAGCGCACACGCCCTACAGTGAAAATCTCTCCAAACAAAAACCAAACCAAAACAAAACAAAACCTATATCTCTCCTAAAGGGGAAACAAAAAGGAAGTTCAAGAATCCTAATGCACCCAAGAGGCCTCCTTCAGCCTTCGTCTTGTTCTGTTCTGAATATTGCCCAAAAATCAAAGGAGAACATCCTGGCCTGTCCATTGGTGATGTTGCAAAGAAACTGGGAGAGATGTGGAATAACATTGCTGCAGATGATAAACAGCCTTATGAAAAGAAGCCTGATGCAGCAAAAAAGGGAGTTGTCAAGGCTGAAAAGATCAAGAAAGAGGAGGAGGAGAAAGATGAGGAAGATGAAAAAGATGAGGAAGAGGAGGAAGATGAAGATGAAGAAGAAGATGATGATGATGAATAAGTTGGCTCTAGAGCATTTTTTTCCTTGTCTATAAAGCATTTAACCCCCCTGTACACAACTCACTCCTTTTAAAGAAAAAAACCGAAATGTAAGGCTGTGTAAGATTTGTTTTTAAACTGTACAGTGTCTTTGTTTTTGTATAGTTAACACACTACTGAATGTGTCTTTAGATAGCCCTGTCCTGGTAGTATTTTCAATAGCCACTAACCTTGCCTGGTACAGTATGGGGGTTGTAAATTGGCATGGAAATTTAAAGCAGGTTCTTGTTGGTGCACAGCACAAATTAGTTATACGTGGGGATGGTAGTTTTTCATCTTCAGATGTCTCTGATGCAGCTTATACGAAATACTTATTGTTCTGTTAACTGAATACCACTCTGTAATTGCAAAAAAAAAAAAAAAAGTTGCAGCTGTTTTGTTGACATTCTGAATGCTTCTAAGTAAATACATTTTTTTTAATTAAAAAAAAAGAGAATTTATTGAAGGAGAGCCAGATTCCACATGACTGACTATGGTTCAAGTCCCTATCCAGTGGCTTGAGAAACATCCCAGGCACATGTGCATGCATGCCCCAAATCCTAGCAGGACAAAAAATGAACAAGGGATTGTGGTATGGTCATCCTTTCTTCCTCTTATTTTTCTCTGGCAAGCACACATACCCTCTGACAAATTAAAACAAGAAAAAAAAAGGTCTTAATGCCTAGGCTAGTTTCTTATCTAACATGTTTTTTTAAAAATATTTTTTAGGGGACCAGCAGTTGTGTAATGGTTATGTCATTGGACTCACATGTAGTCAATGGCAGTTTGAGTCCCAGACCCAGTGACTTAAACTCACGCCGGGTGTGTGTGTGTGGGAATGCCCAAGATCCTGAGAGGAAAATGGAGGAGAAGGGATTGCAGTGTAGTCATCCTCCGGGAAGGGGGGGGATGATTTCTCGCTTTCTGTCTCTCTGTCTCTGTCTTTCTGGCGAGTGCATGCGTCCTATAGCAAAAACCTCTCCAAAAAAATTTTTTTTTCTTAGAGGCAGGAGGGAGATCCCTGAAACACTCAGACAAGAAGCCATTTTAAATCTGAGGTGTGTCCTGGCATGTTCAGGGAGGCAATGCTCTAAACTCCATCTTCTAGACCCCCAAAACACTCAAGACAAATTAGGGAGACCTCTGTCCTCTCTCTGTCTCTGTCTGTGTCTCTCTCTTTAAATTTTTCATTTATTTAAAAAAATTTTAAACAACTTCTTCTTACCCCAGGCCCTTTCTTTCTCTTGATAATTTCAGAAGCTATTTTAAATCTCAGGTGTGTCCTGGTGTGTGTGCACAGTGCACTAGTGCTCCATGTGGTTTTCATTTTTTACCTTTTAAAAAAATTATTTTTCCTATTTTCTGTCTTTATTTTCTTTTCTTTTCCTTTTATTGTTTCTTTAACCTTACTTTTCCACTCTGCTCTCCAGTCTCCACACATGGAGTATCTAGTTAGGCCTAGGTGCACAGTAGTCAAGCATCTGAATACTTTTAGGGTCGTTTTAATCCTCAATGCTTATTGTGCCTCCTGCTCTGAGGCAGAAACTTTTTATAAACTTGAATTCATAATCTTCTTCTGTGGAAACCATACTGGAAAACATAGAAAAGGACAGATTTTGTCACAGAATGACCAGAAACCACTGCAGAGGCACAAGAAATATGAGAAACCAAGAAAATCTCTCTCCCTTAAGTGAAAAGAACAATCCGTCATCATCCACAAATAGTACAGTGGAACTCATGGAAATGTCCAATAAAAAATTGAGAATATTCATAATGATAAAACTAAACAATACGCAAGAGCCAAGAGACAGTGAACTCCAGCAGATATAGGAGAAAAGAGATAACGAGTCCCAGGAGGTGAGGAAGTTCTTACATGATTTAAAGAGAAAATACACATAAAAAAGAGTTAGATAGAGCTGTTAGAGATGAAGGCTGCAATACAGGAAATCAAATCCTCCCTCGAAAGTATTAAAAGCAGATTAGTCCATGCAGAAGATTGAATCTCAGAGGTTGAAGGCAAAACTTCTGACCCAGAAAAAAACAACCAAAAAAACTGAGAATATAAACAGAAATAATGATAATGCAATATGAGAAATACTAGATACCATTAAGTGCCCAAACATCCAAATAATGGGTATCCCAGAAGGTGAAGAAACTAAGAGCATTGATAATCTATTCCATGAAATTCTGGACGAAAACTTTCCGAATCTAGAGAGGTATTCAAATATCTAGACCCAAGAAATACAAAGAACCCCTAACACAATCAACCCAAGAAAATCTTTTCTTTTTCTTTATTATTTTTTTTTTTTTGAGAGATTTTTGGCGAGCATGCGCTCACCAGTCAGACAGAGAGAGACAGAGAAACAGAAAGCGAGAAATCACACACACACCCCCAGGGGATATGGCCACGCCACAATCCCTTCTCCTCCATTCTCCTCTTGGGATCTTGGGCATGCACCACATGTGCCCAGCGTGAGTTTAAGCCACCAGGTCTGGGACTTGAACTACATGGGAGTCCAGCAACATAGCCATTAGGCCAACTGCTGGTCCCGGGCGGTTATATTTCTGAATCATCATAGCCAGATTGGCCAAATCCACAGACAGAGACAAGATACTAAAATTGGCAAGAGAGAAACGCCAGGTTACTTATAGAGGTTATCCCATCAGGCTAACATCAGATCTCTCATCAGAAACAATGTGAAAAAGGAAAGAATGGGAAACTATATCCAAAGTGTTATGTGAAAAACAGTTTCAAATAAGAATACTGTACCCAGCAAGATTATTCTTCATGTGGGAAGAAAAGATAAAAACATTCTCAGATAAACAAAACCTGAAAGAATTTACCAACACCAGACCAGCTCTTCAGGAAATTCTGAAAGGAGTGCTTTACCAGAAA